AAGATGCATGACTGTTTTAAACATTGATAATATGTTTATTGAGCTCCAAAATCAGCATATATTAGAATGATTTCTAAAGAATCATGTGACACTGAAGACTGGAGTAATGGCTACTGAAAATTCAGCTTTGCCATCTCAGGAATAATTATATTTTAAAATATATGAAAGTAGAAAACAGTTCTTTTAAGTTGTTATAATATTTCACAATATTACTGTTTTTACTGTATTTTTTATCAATTATATGCAGCCTTGTTTTTGAGCATGAGAAACTTCTTTCAAAAACATTAAAAATCTTACCAACCCCAAACTTTTGAACTATAATGCACACTGTATATGTAAACATATCAAATTTTTTTCTCTCTCTCTTTATTTTTGTTAGTCTTTTTTGATTATCAGTGCAGGATAAATAACTGAAAGTCGGTGGATTTGTTTTATGCTGAGCTTCAGACCAGTATGGACCGCAGAAGCAAAATCTATATCGTCCTATACTGGATGTTTACATTTTCAGTATAGTCCAAAATACCCATGCACCTGTATGTTATGTTCATAACCGTGATCGATTCTGTGTCATGCTGGACTTCCTTTGTGCACGTCTCGCTTTATGTAGGTTGCACTGATGATATGTTCCTTTTGTTTAAAGGAACTGGATTGTGATGTTTAGGTTGTTATTGTGGCGGTGCTCATTTCAGAGGCTGGAATGTGTGTGCCTGTGTGTAGTTTCTGTAACTCTAGGCAGAAGCTGTGAGGCCTTGACTGTAGCCCTGTAGAGAGGCCCATTGAAGGGGAAGTTGGCTCTGTATGTGTGTGTGTGTGTGTGTGTGCATGCAGACCACTGGGATTGGACACAGGGTAGAAAGACCCCCTGTACGGAAGGAGGGAAAAAGGGAGGAAAGAGGAAGGAGGAGTCAATTACACTTTTCTGGTCATGTGTGTGTTCTTGCCCCGTGTTTTGCATGGACAGAGTGAGTGGTCGCGTTACGGCAAGGGTAACCAAAGACGAATACGTAAAAAGGCTATTCACAGGTTTCTCATTAGTAAACAGCCTAAATTTGACTTTTGTAATGTAACTTGAACAGTTTTGGCCTGATGTTTGTTTATTTACTGTGGCTAATGTTTTACAGTGCTATCTTTGTCTTTGCATCTTTTTTTAAATAATATTTGTTTGCTTATGATGAATTTAACAGTTCAGAAATAATTGATGTTCAGTGTGATGAGGTTTTTCAGCATGATGGAATGATAAATGATTAATGTATGTCTTTGCGCAGCGTATCTTCGGCTACTGTGGATTCGTACTATTTGCTCAGTGCTTGACATTGCTATAAACGGCTTAGCTAAACCTATGTGGACTGAGAGTCAAATAGACTGAAATAACACAGAAATGGTATGATCTTTTTTTTTATTTTTTATTTCTTTCCATTGCATTGATTTCTGTGAGATCCTCTAGTTACTTTGGATAGTCCTTCAATATATAGGGCCTAAGGGATAATATACAGTCAGACAGGGTGATCAGGAAGTGGAAAGATCTTGTCACCCTAATTACATACTTACCAAGTAAATACATAAATTATACTTATAAAGTTTAGTGGTTATTACACAAAAATAACTGACAGCAGGGTGCAACGATTGGCCAATCAGAAGTAGATGTTGCTCAGACTCAATTTAGGTTCTTCTTCACTGAAATGTGATACATCTGTCTCATCAAGATTTCGAGATGCACATTTGTCCCTTATTTGACAAGTTTTCTAATATACACTGTCAGAAAAAAAAATGTTGTCACTGGGACAGTACTCTAAAAGCTACATCATTTGTACCTTATTTACCCCAAAATGGTACCTAATAGGACCTTAAAGGTACATGTTAGTACCTTAAGTTTATATTTTGCACCATTATAATATTTTGTAACTGGAGGGTACCACTCCAGTGACAGCTTTGTACCTTTTTTTTCTGAAACTGTAAGTATTTATAATAACTAAGTATTGCTAAATAAATAAATTCTGAGATTAAAGTAAGATAAAAGTAGAGATGTTGCTGTTGTCTCCACTGCATTAAAAGGATGGTTCACCCAAAAATGAAAATTATGTGGTCATTTACTCAGCCTCATGTTGTTTCAATCTGTGTGACTTTCTTTTCTTCAGTGGAACATAAAAGAAGATATTCTGAAGAATGTTGGTAACCGAACCGTTTTGGTTACCATTGATTTCCATTGTATGGACAAAAATATACATGCATTTCTCAAAATATTATCTCGTGTGTTCCACAGAAGAAAGAAAGTCATACAGGTTTGGAATGACACGTGGGTGAGTACATGATGACCAAATATTAATTTTTGGGTGAATTGTCCCTTTAAGGTTGTGTTTATGTTGAAGCGATTTTTGGATGTGATGATGTTGGCCTACATGGATCGAATTTATTTTTCTCCTGAATATTACCACATTTCTTGGGGTTAAATCTAAACCAGCTTGATTTCAACACATACATCGGCTGTTCCGGCTCCTTATGTCAGTGTAAATGCTGTCTGTGGTCGAACATCTAGTATAAACAATTACTTATACATTTATGTAACGTGTGTATGTTTTTACCCTATGCAAATGGAAATCTCTGAAAGAATCCGACAGTAAAATGACTTTACCATGTCTTCATAGAGTGTTGCTTGGCATGAGTCTTAGTTTGTATTTGTGTGGTGTACTTGTGGAATTTTGTGTGTTGTGTGTGTGAGAGAGAGACTTTGTGTGTGAGTGTGTGGCAGTGTTATAATCTGGCAGTGTGTTTCCAGTAGGGTTCGTGTGAGGACAGCAACAGTTTCTGTGTGTTCTGGACCCGTACTGACCCAACTGGCTCTGCGCATTACACATACACACATATTTCATTAGCGTGTGTATGTGTATAGAGGAAATGTGTAGGACTGTTAGTCTCTAAGTCTCTGTCTGTTTTTATGGTTTTTATGGGTCTGCTGATCGTTCTGCCTTTATAGCCGTCAAAGCCAGTTTGCCGGGTTGCTCCAAGTGGGAGAACATTTCTACAGGGCTTTAGTATGTGATGTTGCATGTGTTCCTGTGTTTTCCACATGGTCTCCATGCCAGGCCTGGCATTCCTGCCGTGTGAGTCTGTATCTGTCTGTTGTCATAGCTAATGAAGGTTTATGAAACCCTGACAGCATCTCTGTCCTGTCCTGTGTACAGGTGCCCCTCAGCCTCTGCTGTAAGGGCTGGGGCGCTTTTCTCTGTTTACTTAAATTTATGACCTAACTATGCCTAAATGCCACACTAGTTACAAAGTCAACCCGCATTATGCAGTTACTAGAAGTTTTTATCGCGAAGGAACCATAGTTACGCATGTCGATTGAAGTATCACCATAGCTACATGTTATAGAGTTACTATAGCATGACCACTGTATGTTACACAATAACCACTGGCAATATGTTATGGAATATGCTAATCTCTGGTTATCAGCAATGACTTTGCTCTCTGCATTTGTTTTCGAAAAGGTCAAAGTCAATTCTCAACATATTTTCAAACCATTTTCATCTGTCTTTACGTTTATTTTGAAAGATGACGCTCGCGATTATGGTAAGGGGCGTTACATTTCCGACGCGTGCTCTTAGTGTTCGGCCAATCACAATGCACTGGGTCAGCTGGCCAATCAGAGCAGACTGTGCTTGTCGGAAGGAGGGACTTTGTAGAAAACGAAGCGTTTGAGAGAGGCGGGGCATAGAGGACCTACAATAATGTACAGTATTTGAAAAATAATGTGTTTTTTGAACATTAAAGCATGTCAACATATTCTGTTACACCAAATACACAAAATAATGATCTTTAAAATAGCATGACCCCTTTAAAAGATAACGATCGTGCATGTTACTTCGAAGGCGATCTTCTCCACTTTAGTCATGCGGTACATCGTTCTTTTATATGATAAACAGGCCATTTTACTCACAACCAGGTCATTCTGCTGAAGAGGGACAGTCTTTCTCGTACACCTTGGCCTACATACTTGTTAGTGCTATGTGATGCTTCAGTCAGTTCAATCATTAACTCTGAACTACATTAAAGGGCATCACGATCATACATATAGTGAGGCCACAGTCAAAGTGTCAGTCATGCCGTCTTCACATGTCCAGACCTAAATATTCCAGGTGTTCTCAGATTTCTTAGATGCTATATGGCATCAGATGACACATTAACCTGACCGGCCAATTAAGACACATTTAAGATTTTCGGAAAGTCTCCTGTCTCCTTCATGCTATGTGTGCGTTGATAACAAGAGCCATATGCTGAAGCAAATGCGAATAGCGGATATGTGATGTGCACAGTCCAAAATCTCAGTGTGCACACACACAGTTAATGATTTTGGAGACTTGTGAAAGCAAGCAAGGACTGAATTTACCTAACAATTGCTTTTAGACTGACTGCTTTTAGTATACTTTTTAGAAGGAAATTGGTCATTATATTATATGAAGTCATTATATATTCATGTTATGATTATCAGGAAAATAGTATTATTAAATGGATTTGTCCTTCTAACCTTCTGTCTTTTTGTTAAATCTATGTTTTGCACTTTACATGTGAAGTTCATTTTAGATTATTGAGTGTAATGCAGAGCATTGCTCATAATATTAGTTGATGAGGACTATATTGTATAGCAAGGCTATCACTCATAGCTACAGCTCACTTCACTAAGTCTACTTTATGATTTAACAGATTTTTTTCCACACAGGCTGTTGAGAAATTAGGTACAATCCAGAATAATGAAACTCAATGACTTTTTTCCTGCACTTGAGTGCACCAGGATGTGAATGCTTATGTAAGCATGTATGAAGTAAAAATGACCTAAAATGTATGTGAATTGCATTAATTTGTTTGAAAAAAATACCAATCTTTTATATATTTTCTTATATAATGACAGAGACATTTAAAGAGTTTGTTTGCGCCCACTGTAAGCCTGTGCTTCAAAGTTCACATTCATTTTATTAAACACTTTTTGTTATTGTTTATTTATTAATTTAAAGTTGATTTATTATTATATGATTTACTTCTGTCCCCCTTTTTGAATCTGTCTGAATATTGACAAGCAAAAAACAATCATTATCATTACTGGAGAAGCCTTGAAAAATAGCAACATCCATCTGCAGGTTACCTTCAAAAATATGCACATAAGTAGTGCCATGTTTGTGGATGACTGCCAACTAAATCTTCACAAACAGGGATTGCAAATGTTTCACACATTTTGAATAGATGAATAAATGAACAGCCCAATTTAGATAAATGCATAATTATGTGCTGAAGTGTTTTGAAATGGTTTTATTAGTGCGAGTTTTCTGTGTGCATTAGAGTAATTTGAGAACTTTCTCTTGAAGAGGTTACATCGTGTGTGTGTGTGTGTGTACACTATATGAAGCATTTCCTCACAACTTACTGAGTGAAAACAGGAAAACATCATTCAGGTGACATCACCCTCTATGCTGAGGTATGTTTATTTGGTTTGCACTGTTCCTGTTTGTACACATGGAGTCGTGATGTCCCCGCGACCTTTCACATAGATCTCCACTTTATTGCTGATTCCATGTATTACGACAGGGTTAAGGGTGAAAGGGTTAATCGCGTGCTTTTCTCATATACACATTTATTGTGACAGTATTCTTATCACCTGATGCTTTTTAGCTGTTTGAGTTGGTGTGTCACTTTGACCTCTGACTCATTTCAGCATGGCTGCTGTTCCTCATGGGTTGCTCAGTGGGGCTATATATAATGATTTTATGTTTCTGTTTTTGCTGACCTTGTTCTTTTTTTTTTTTTCTTTCTTTTTTTCAAAAAAGGCTTTTGATGGAGATATTGAAGCTGACATCTGTTTGTTTTCATTTGCACGGTCTCCTACAACCACTCCAATCCTCCTGCCCTTCCTCGATGGTGTAGCACTGATAGCTAATTAATATTCCCCTCTATCTCGTACGCTCTTTATCAATGCGCATACATTAGTGATGCTTATATAAAGAACTCTGTTTTTCCCCCCATTCAGTTTGTGATACTGCCTCATAGCTTTAATCAGAATGATTTATTGTTCTATTAAAGAATTGTTAATTATTCAACACTCGCTATAGAACATCAGTTATGATTTGTGGTTTTGTTATTCTGTCGGTCTGTACTGAAGAAATAGGGAATGTCCTTTTTTTTTTTTTATTCCTGCTTTATATACACTACCAGTCAAAAGTTTAGAATAATCAAAATTTTTAAAATGTTTTTGAAAGAAGTCTTTTATGCTCACCAAGCCTGCATTTATTTGATCAAAAATGCAGTAAAAACAGTATTACTGCATAATATTATTTCAGTTTAAAGTAACTTTTTTTCCTATTTAGTATATTTTAAAATGTAATTTATTCCTGTGATGGCAAAGCTGAATTTTCAGCAGTCATTACTCCAGTCTTTAGTGTCACATGATCCTTCAGAAATCATTCTGATTTGGTGCTCAGTTTTTTTATCAGTTGTTATTGGCGCTCCAATATTAATAATGGTTCTTGTTATTATCAAGGCTGAAAAGTAGTTTTTGATGCTTAATTTATGTTGATATGCTTGATACTTGGATATACATGATACTAGGGTTGGGCCCATAGACGATGCCATCGTCCATCGCCGATGGCTGATAGACATCACGATGTTGAGCCGGCATCGTGATACACCCCCCCCACCCCCCCACATCCCAATACCGTGTTCGGAAAGAAAATGACGTGTAGGCGGAACCCCTAAAGGGAATACATACAGATGGGAGGAAAATATATATTTCAATATCTTTCCTTGCAGTTATATAATTGGGTAATTATTCTACATATATATTTCTGCATCAGGGAGCCGCTATTATACCTGGCGTTGAAACTGGCATCGTGCTTTTGATCGCTTTTAGTTTCACTTTCACTTTCGAGATTCGTGATCACTACTCTGTTTATACTATGGAGCGGCAGTACTTGCCACACATTTTACAAGATTATATGTTTGTCAGTGGTACTGAGGATCTGCAAATCATTCGCCATCGTCCTCAGTCATCTCTCCTTACTCTGTTTATGTGGTAAGTGAAATTTTATGTACTGTAGGATGTAACAGGCAACCTTTACACCGTGTTTACATCGGACGTGTCGCACCGTGCCGCATCAGCTAAAGTCTGTCTACACTGGACACGACAAAGCGACCTTTGAAAATAATTTGAAATTTGTGTCAGCACATCATAAATAGAACGCGGCAGCAGTTTAATGAGGGAAAAAAATTAACTTAAATGATTTTAGCAAATGGCTGCAATATAACAAAGAGTGAAAAATTTAAGGGGGTCTGAATACTTTCCGTACCCACTGTATAATAAATCTCTATTATAGATCAGTGGTTCTATAGTATTTTGTGCGCTGTGCCACTCGCGTCCGGTGTAGACACGGTGTTAGGAATCGTGTTTTCCCTTATAAAGGAGCCGTTCACATGTCGCGCCTGAAAACGCTAGGCGTGCCGCTTTCTGCTTTTTTCCAAAGCGTTCGGGCACTTGTGCTCTGGAGGCGTCTGCCGTTGCTAAGCAACCATGACCTGCGCTCCATGAAGACGCGGAAGTTTCAGCTAAGGATAAATGGATTTGCAGCACTAAAAATCGCTTGCAGTAGCCCTGCTACTAAATTTATTTAAAAATGGCTATCCCTGTACAGCTACGATCAGCTGTTCGAAGTTTCAGCAAAGGATAAATGGATTTGCAGCACTAAAAATCGCTTGCAGTAGCTCTGCTACTAAACTTATTTAAAAATGGCTATCCCTGTACAGCTATGATCAGCTGTTCCTTCATCTTGGCTGAGCTTTCAATGTTGTTACGGTAAAGGATGAAGCTGATTGGTTGGTTCTTGTCACATGGCCCGCGGTGCGCTTGCGGCATTCTGAAAAGTTGAAATGTTTTTATCTCGATGCGGCATGGACGCGCCTGGAAAAAATGAGCGCGTCGCACCGCGTGCGCGTTGCAACCGCGTCGCTTCCATTATGAGCGCGCCTGCCGCGCGTCTACATTTGAAATAACGAACTTGAGTGCGCAAAAAACGCGATATGTGAATGGCCCCTAAAAGACACGATATGTGAACGGTCCCTAAGGATTCACGCTTTGGGCACACCCCCTAAGGGGCCATTCACATATCACGTGGTGCGATGTGCTAATTTTTTCCAGGCGCGTCCGCGCCGCATCGAGATAAAAACATTTAAACTTTTCAGAATGCCACTGCGGGTCATGTGACAAGAACCAACCAATCAGCTTCACCCTTTCCCGTAGCAACATTGAAAGCAAAGCCAAGATGAAGGAACAGCTGATCGTAGCTGTACAGGGATAGCCATTTTTAAATCAATTTAGTAGCAGAGCTACTGCAAGTGATTTTTAGTGCTGCAAATCCATTTATCCTTTGCTGAAACTTCCGCGTATTCATGGAGGGCGCAGGTCATGGTTGCTTAGCAACGGCAGACGTCTCCAGAGCGCAAGCGCCCGAACGCTTTGGAAAAAAGCAGAAAGCGGCGTTTTCCACGCGTTTTAAGGCGCGACATGTGAATGGCCCCTAAAGCCCCGTTCACACTAGTTGCCAGGGGCTGGCGATGAGGTTATTCTTGAATGAATAGAAAGCTCAAAAGCATTTATTTGAAATAGAAATATTTTGTAACATAAATGTCTTTACTGTCATTTTTTTCAAATGAATGCGCCCTTGCTAAATAAAAGTATTAATTTATCAATTCAGTATTGTCATCACAGGAATAAATTACAATTTAAAATATATTCAACAAGAAAACGGTTCCTTTAAATTGTAATATTGTAATCTTATGTTCCCATCATCCCCATAAATGCACAACTCTGTATGTTTGACTCTGTTTCTCCTCCTCCTCCTTCGTCTCCTATAGTGATGGAGTCAGCCGTTAGTACATCCACTCAAGTGCCAGATGAGTTTGACCGTAATGTTCCACGGATCTGTGGTGTGTGTGGAGACAAAGCCACTGGCTTTCATTTTAATGCGATGACCTGCGAGGGCTGCAAAGGCTTCTTCAGGTACACATGCATGCACTTTCTCTCATCCAATTTGGTATTCGCACATTTACACCGATGTTCATTAAGAAACCCATTAACACATATTATCTGTAACCAATGTGATACTGCCAGACTATTTTTAGCGGTTTTGCGTGCGTGTTCATTAGGCGCAGTATGAAGCGGAAGGCCAGTTTTACCTGTCCCTTTAATGGAAGCTGCACCATCACTAAAGATAACCGTCGCCACTGCCAGGCCTGCAGACTCAAGCGTTGCCTGGATATTGGCATGATGAAAGAGTGTGAGTTACTAGCCAACATGACACATCTCGGAACACTGATTACTGGGAGCCAAGACATACTTTGTTATATCATGTTTTAATTATAGTTTAGATTTTTATTTAACCTGGAGTTTCTAAAGCTTCCAAATGTCATTTTTGTGATCTTGAAGGGCTCTGCAGGAATGGCATGCTATTTGTAAGGCTGTTCCAAACAAAAGCATGTAAGATGATCCATTCACAAAAGGCCCCGAAAGGCAGTTAGCAAAATGATACTTAGGATAAGGAAGTAGTTTCACCATTTGTGAGCACATGCTCCTGAGTGGCAGCTCTTTGCGAATCATTTTGAAAGTGAAAGGTACTTCAGAATATGGATTTCACAATGTTTGATTGCTCTTGTGTTTTGAAGAATCATCAGTGGAAATTATAGCTTGTATGTTATCACTTTTTTTTTAAACAAACATCACATGCAGAAAGATAAGATATATTTGAATTAAGTCATAAAAAGGCAATATTTGATGCAAATGTTTTAATGTCCCCAAAAATTGTAATAGCTATAAACCTGAATATTTCTTTAAACCTAAAAATAAAAAGTTAAATTTTTATTTAGAGAGACTGAAAATTAATAATAAATAATGCTTAGATTGGTGGGGGAAAAGGAAGAGAAATATCCAGTAGAAAGGGAAATAAATGTTCAGATAATGTGGTTCCATTTTTTTTCAGACATTTCTACAAGTAAAAATGGTCTGATGGAATTGTTCTCCCCATTGTCAGTATCTATGAGACTGAATTAAATTAAAGCTATCGATTAAACTGAACTCTATCAAACTATACTAAAGTAAATTATAATGAATTATGGTTGTAATATAACACTGGAGAACAACATACGATTTTAGTTCCTCATTTTTGAAATATTACTGTATTTTACCTGTAATAAAATTATATTACATGGGCATAGCAATAATACTCATCTGTCTTTTTCCTTCAGTTATATTGACGGATGAGGAAGTTCAGAGGAAAAAGGAGCTGATCCAGAGGAGAAAGGATGAGGAGGCGCAGAGGGAGGTGCAGAAGCCCCAGCTTTCAGAAGAGCAGCGCAGCATCATTGATACGCTGGTGGATGCGCATCACAAAACCTATGACGATTCCTACTCTGACTTCTCACGCTTCAGAGTAAACTATTCATCTGATTTTTCTCTGTTCTCTTCCTCTCTTCTGCATACCATTCAACCAGTTTTAAGATGTTCTTGAACAGTGGGCCCAGTGAGGTTTTGGACACTTAAGTGATATTTAATGCAGGCAACATTAAGCATCAAACCAAGCGGCATCTGTAAACAAATGATTCTAGAGCTTTAACATTTCTCAACCAACTGGTGCTAAAATGATTTTAAGTGATCATACAATACAGTTCAAATGTTTGGGGTTGGTAAGATTTTTGTCTTTTAAAAAAAATTGTTTTTGAATGAAGTCTCAAAAGCTCGCCAAGGCTGTATTTATTTTGTATTATTACAATTTAAAATTACTGTTTTCTATTTTAATATATAATATGGATTGTATTCCTGTGAAGGCAAAGCTGAATTTTCAGCATCATTACTCCAGTCTTCGGTGTCACATGATCCTTCAGAAATCATTCTAATATGCCGATTTGGTGATCAAGAAACATTTCTTATTATTATCAATGTTGAAAACAGTTTTGTGGAAACCATGATTAAGAATTCTATGATGAATAGAAAGTTCAAAAGAACAGCATTTTCCACTTTTGTTCAATCTAATGTGTCCTTGATGAATAAAAATATAGATTTTTTGTAAAAATTAAAAAACATCTTACTATTCCCAAATCTTTGAATGGTGATGTATATATGATATCCCAAATGTTTGCTATATGTCAAATAAATCCCATTGTTTTGATATTTTGTTATATAATAATGCAGAGACATTCTTACATTTTTAAGTGTTCAAATACTTTTTGGGTCCAATTTTTTTTGTCTTTCTTAGGCATCCTTTGCTATTTTTTTTCAGTGTGTTCTTATGTTTATGTGTGTTTTGTTGCAGCCTCCAGTTAGAGAGGGTCCAGTTACACGTAGTGCCAGCCGAGCCGCGTCTCTTCATTCAGATGCCTCGTCAGACTCCTTCAGCCACTCTCCAGGTGACACACAAACGCACAAGCATATACACATGCGAAACAAATGCACACAAACACTCATTTGTGCGTAAATCACCTGTTAAGTTTCTTCTGAGAAATATTTTTCAGCCCAGTCTGAGGCGCGGGCAGGCGTGTGTTTGTGTGTTAGAGAGTTGTGTGTCTTATATGCACAGCAGGCTCTGTCCATCTCACCATGCCTGACGTCACAGGAGAGCCATTCTAATGACAAACAGACTATTCACATGCGTACATGTATACACACACACACACGGCTCATCCTGGAAGCAGCAAGTTGTTTTTGTAACTTTACATATGACATTAATCATAAACTCTCTATTGGGGTGGGGGGGTATGACCATAATCTTACAGCGCACACTATGAGTACTTTATGATTTTTAAAATAAATAAAAATACCAATTGAAAAATTTTGTTTTTAATAATAAACAGTTCAGATTAATTTTCTGATTGCTGCAGATGTCTTCAGTGATTTTAGTGCAAGCTTTAGTAAGCATTTATTACAAATTAGAATTTTAAAAAATCCAAATGAATAAATGCAGTTACAATGTCAAGAAAAATAAACCACATTGATTTCCCCCATAATTGTGCAGTCATAATATATGAAAGCAAATTTAAAGTACACAAAATTGCTGAAATAATCTTTTCCACAATATTTCCTTACAGTTCACTAAAACATTAAAAACAGAAGTAGTTTGTTGTCTGGCTGTATTATATAAGGCTGTTGGCAGATTTTGAAATGTACACAAGGGGGAGATAACGCTTCTGTTAATCAGGACATGGATTAATACATGGATTGTTGAGTTTGAAAGGTGGCTCAGATGAAGCAAAGCATGTTTGATCTTTTTTTTGTTTATTTTTTTCTGTCTCTTTCTCTCTCTCTCTTCACATCTGTAGAGTCAGGAGATCGTAAGATGAATCTGAGTAATCTGTTGATGATGTATCAGGAGCAGGGTTTAAACTCCAGTCCAGACTCAAAGGAGGATGAGGGCACTGGTCTTTCCATGCTTCCTCACCTGGCTGACCTGGTTTCCTACAGCATTCAGAAGGTCATCGGATTTGCCAAGTCGATTCCTGGATTCAGGTAAATTTTTGTTTGTGAACCGTCTTTTTTTTTTTGTTTTTTGTTTTTTAATTCATGAATTCATTTTATTTGGAATGGCAGGAGGAGGGATTTACTGAATTGCAATTTGAAGAAATTTGACAGTTACCAGAAGGAATTCAGTTTTGCAACAAAACTGAAGAAATTTTACAGCACAAAAACAACAGCATCATTTTTTTTTTTTTTTTTACAGCAGTCATTTTTATTTTAATTACATATATATCTGAATTCAGTTGTGTTTTGAATTTTGCAGATTTTATTTTTACTGTACAACATCAGAAAATATGTACTAGTTTTCAAAAACTCTATAAAAACAATAATTTATACAGTCAATTAAAAAAAAAAAATCAAAGTAAATTAGAGCATTCCGGGACATGATATACATATGCTCCGTTCAGCTGAATAAAGCTGTTCTTAAAGGAATAATTCACCCAAAAATGAAAATTTGCTGTTAATTTACATCCAAGATGTAGGTGACTTTTTTTTCTTTAGTAGAACAGTAAAGACGATTTTTTACTGAAACCATGGCCCTTGGTAATTCATAAAATACAATTCAATGGCTGCCTCTGATTAAGACTATTTTTTTTCATTTTGAATGCTTTAGACAAGTAAAACATCTGTGTTTCACTTCATTATTGGGTGCTTTAATAATATAATTGCGTGTACATTATGTCATTACCTGATTACATAAACAAATTGATGAATCAGTTATTTGAACCTTTTCATTAAATCAAACTGTCCGAAAAGAATCTGGTTTCCTGGTTGCCTGAGTCTGTGGGTTATAGGTAATTGTGTTGTAAATAATATTCAGTTTCTTGCACTGACCGATCGTTTTTCTTCATAAGGCCTTAATATATCGTCAGGAGCCACAGGTATTGTTTTTGTTGCCTGTATATGTTTTTTTTTTGTATTCTTAAAGTGACGATAGCCATTCACTTGCATTTTATGAATCTCCAAGGACCATTTTTCAGCTACAAATCTTCTTTACTGTTCTACTGAAGACAAATAGTCCCCTACGTCTCGAAAGACCTGAGGGTGAGTAAATTAACAGCAATTCATTTCATTTTTTGGTGAACTATCCTTTTAATTTCACAGGGTTTCATTTTTGTAGGTCTTGAGCAAGGATGATCTCTACATTCCTTTAATCCATTTTTGTGGTGCTTGTTTGTGGAAGGTTCCACCTTTTTCCCAACAGGCTAATGTTAACATGACTATTATCGATTTAATTTCCTCAGGAGCATAAAAATATGTTTGACCTTATAGACTGTCACTCTCCGTACATGTTTCTTGCCTGCCTCTGTGCACTTCCATGTATTTCCCAGCTTCCTCAGAATGTGCGCACATACATATGCATGATGGACCGCATGTTGCTGTGGTAACCATAGGAGTGTCATGTTATCTGCACTGAATGCACCCACTCCCTCTTCATCTGTCATTCACAGAATCCAGCATGAGCCAACATTTGACGTGTGTGCATTTGTGTCTGTTTGTGTGTCTCAGAGAGCTGACAGCTGAAGATCAGATTGCTTTGCTCAAGTCCAGTGCTATAGAAGTGATCATGCTCCGGTCCAACCAGTCTTTCAGTCTGGAGGACATGAGCTGGAGCTGTGGAGGACCCGAGTTTAAATACTGCGTGAATGATGTCACGAAAGGTACACGCAAACAGACATACATTGTTTCATGCAGTGGCTGCAGTTTTGTTATTGTTTATTAAAACTAAATGAAAAATCATTTTTTCATTAATTGAAATAAAGCTGAAATAAAAATTATAAACTTAAATGAAAATTATAAATGTTGCCTTGGCAACTAACTGAAATAAAATGTTTGATGTGCTAAAATTAATAAAAATAAAACTGAAACAAAAATAAAAATGAAACTAAATAGAAATATCAAAAACAACAAAATTAAAATGACAAAACCACAAAACAAAATTACTAAAAATGGAAATTAAACTGAAAATAAAAAATAAAAGGTAATTCAAAATATTGATAAATAACATAATAGCACATAAACATACAAAAATAACACTGAATAGTTACATATTATGTCAAAGTTTACTTGGTATATCGCAAATAGAAGGTTTCATTTGCATTTTATTTGATGTCAGCAGTGGGTTTGGTGATTTTGTGAAAGTTTTGTAAGGTTCATTTTTTTTAAATGTATTTTCTCAAAATAATTTTTCTTTTTATCCCAGTTTTATGCATGGAGACAATATACTGTCTCCAAAAAATGTGGACACTAAGCCAAAGTTAAAAATGTATTCATATCTTTGTTTTGGGTAACAACATATAAAATTAACAAACTACCAAGACTGACATTTGTTTAAAAAAAAATATAGCACAAACATTTATGGTAACATTTAGCAAAGTTCAAACTTCACATGCATCAGGTATAATTAACTAATAATGAATAATATTTTCTTTACAGCATTTATCTAGGCTAATGTTTTAAATAGTTAATTTATACTAGTTCAATTAATTCATTTTAAATGTTTAAACTGTATATGTACAAATTAACATTAGAAATTAGCATAAATATAGACCAATACATGAAAGTAGTGATCATAATTGTATTTTTAATCACTTTCTGGTTATCAAACGTTGTGAACAAGGTCCATAGTCCTTGTGATGAACAACACCTGTAGTTAGTCTCTGTTAATAATGAGCCTAATGAAATCATCCTGATTTTGTGTATGTTTGGGGGCACAGCTGGACACACTCTGGAGCTGTTGGAGCCTCTGGTGAAGTTTCAGGTGGGCTTGAAAAAGCTCAACCTACATGAGGAGGAACATGTGCTGCTGATGGCCATTTGCCTGCTGTCTCCAGGTCAGCGTGTATCCCATATGCACCAAGCATTAGACAGACTGAGACTTCATCCCGTGAAACAAGCCTGTGCTTGCAAACAGAAATCTCACTTGTCTGTGTTTGTGTGCTTGTAGACCGGCCTGGGGTGCAGGACCACGAGCGAGTGGAAGCGTTGCAGGACAGGTTATCTGAGGTTCTGCAGGCATATATCCGTGCGCATCACCCGGGGGGGTGTCTGCTCTACGCTAAGATGATCCAGAAGCTGGCAGACCTCCGCAGCCTGAACGAAGAGCACTCCAAACAGTATCGCTCCCTTTCTTTCCAGCCCGAACACAGCATGCAGCTGACCCCTCTGGTGCTGGAGGTGTTCGGCGGACAGGTCACTTAGCAAGTTCACCCAAGTCGGAGCAAGACATGCGGGTCAAACGGCGTGAGCCGGAGGATTGTGGAGTGGAGTGAATGTACGGTCAATCACCTTAAAATGCATACAGAGTTTCCAGGATGAAGTTTGTGAGTTGCGTGTGTGCGTGTGTGCGTGTGTGTGTGCGTGCATGTGTGCGTGCGTGTGTGTGTGTGTCTTCTGAAAGTGTATCCCTCATCATTTACAGATCGGCTAGGGAGTGCCATAGATGTTTGCATTTGTTTGTTGTATGTAAGGAAGACATTCTCATGAGAATGTAATATGGTCATGGTGTTTTTCACTGTGGCAACTCAATACAGTATATTTTACTGTATTATCAATAGCCAACAGTATTACACTGCATGTGTAGGATGAGTGTGTGAGCGTGCAGTCCTGTTCTAAACCTCTGCATGGTCCCCAAAGCGCTGTCCACTACTGCTGATGTCCTGTCTCTTCACCTCCTGCCTTTAAATGCACAGGGTTAAAAGTACTAATGCAAGCACACAGCTCTAACTCGCCCCTCGCCTAGCCACTTAACCAATCAGACGGCAGCTCCGCCTCCCTTTCCTCTGCCTCCAGAGCTCTGATAGGTCGCTGAACAATGGCTGTCTTCTCTCCTATTTGCCTTTGCTGTGATTGGCCAATAACCTGACGCCTCCACAAAGTGGTCAGTGCAGCATTAGCGCTCGCCACGCAGCTAACCTGTAAATAAGACTCAGTATCTATATTCGTAACTTTTCAAATCAGTGTAAATAGAGTTTGATATAAGTGCTTCGTGTGGCTAATGGTAGAATCTAGCAGAGGGAGACCCTGCAGCCCTGGCTGGTTATAATGAATAGGTAAACAAAGACTACGATCTAACTGTGCGTTTATGAAAACATACAGGAAGCGGAATCATGAATTACGTTTTAAAAAACAGCTTTACCTCCATTCTTTACATTGTCGTAAAGTCCTGTAGGATACATATTTCTCAAATCTTCCATTCTATCATTCTTTTTTTTTTTTGATTAGTTCAACGAATTAAATTTTTTTCAACATTTTACCCTTCGTTAGCCATCATATTTTTTTTCTCATGACACCGCTAACAAAATCATGAATGCTTTTTATCATGAATTTAATTTATTTTATTTTTTTATTTATAGCACATTTGACACAAGCAAGAGTTACACAGCTAAAATAAAAATGTCGGTCATATTTCAACCCAAAAGAAAATAATCTCCCCAGATGAAATTTGAATTACTCTAATATGACAATGGATATCATCCATATTACAATTATGTATTATTTATATTTTAAATAATATATCTTTTTCTCTTCATATTACATTAATGAAGATTTTTTTTCACATTATGGTATTCAAAAATTGTGGGAAAACATTATTAATAAATAAAATTAATTGGAATACTTGAAAATCATGTCACTTTAAAAAAAAAAAATCATAGTTTCATAGTTTAGAGTGAACTATGACCCATGAACTATGGTATCTTCCTGACAGGTTGTGGGAGATTCATCTAACAACTGTTTGTTTTGCTTTGGGAGATAATACTAACTTATTTGGTTCTCACGTTTTTAAAGTAACTAAAAGCAGCATGCTGGGTAATTTATGATTTTAATTTTTGTCATCTGTTACTGTGGTGTTCCATGCTTCCTGGGTATATTTGATATTTTGTTGGCACAGGGAGGTTCTTCAAAGCATATTCTGATTACAGCATAACACAACTCAGCATTCTTCTCTTATGCTGGTTGTTATTATCTAAACAGTAATTATGTTATTATCTAAACAGTAATAATTATCTATACATGTTGGGCATGGTATAGACTTATTGTTTTTGCATGACACCGTGTTAATATCACATTAGCCACTGGCTGCGTTGTGTCCTCTAAAACAAACATAACTGCCTTAGCTTGGCCTCAGCTGTTCACAGTTATTCACTTTAATTGATCTTTTTATGCTTTTTAATTATGTAAGAGTCCTTTTCTCTACTGTGTAAATTATCTGTAAGTGATATTTGCGAGACTCGTCAAGGGCTCCTTGAGTCGCAATATAGGGCTGATGCTTATAGAGCGCTATCTCTGTTGCTTTATATATCTCGTTCTCTTGGTTTCTCCACAAACCTTTTTTTTTTTTTTTTTCACGTCTGATTCATATGAATCTTCTCAGTCAGGGCTCAGGGTCATTAGGAAAAACTTTTCTGTGGTATAAGATTTAATCATAGTTTAATGAAGATTGTCTGTAGGTGTGAGTTTGGTGTCGGAACGATTTAATGATCATGTGAGCTGAATTTAACTACCTGGAAACTGCGGTCGCTCGGAAAGGAGAGCGCAGGTGTGTGTCTGGAAGCGTGTGTTTATGAAGTGAGGGCAATGTATAGCATTTACCTATACACCAAGTATATTCATATATAATTGGGTGTTGCATAATTGGCCCAGCCTTGATGGGAATGTGTTTGTGTGAGAAGGTTATCGTTTCCTCATTATATTACTATTAAATAACTTAGTCATGGCACTTAAGATTTAATGATATGGAAGGTTTGCTATATATATATCTATGAGTATTACTTTGCAACATTAGGAAAAACTTAGAGTTAATCATAGTTAATGAAGATTGTCTGTAGGTGTGAGTTTGGTGTCGGAACGATTTAATGATCATGTGAGCTGAATTTAACTACCTGGAAACTGCGGTCGCTCGGAAAGGAGAGCGCAGGTGTGTGTCTGGAAGCGTGTGTTTATGAAGTGAGGGCAATGTATAGCATTTACCTATACACCAAGTATATTCATATATAATTGGGTGTTGCATAATTGGCCCAGCCTTGATGGGAATGTGTTTGTGTGAGAAGGTTATCGTTTCCTCATTATATTACTATTAAATAACTTAGTCATGTGGCACTTAAGATTTAATTATATGGAAGGTTTGCTATATATATCTATGAGTATTACTTTGCAAATGTAAAAGATTAAAATATTTTCTTGTAGACTAGTTTTGATATTCTGGTATCAGTGTACAGGTGGTGGCACAGGGCAGAGGGTCGTTTGTTTATGTGTGGGTAGGTATGCAAATATCGGAAAGTATGATTGAATGCTAACCTCCATCCCAGTGCGGGCATATTTTATATATATATATATATATATATATATACATTTTTCTTTCATGATGTTATTGCTCTCTTTCGACTGTCTGTTTTATCGTCTTCATGCCTTCTGTCTATTCTAAGCTGCTCAGTACTTTGTGGGATGAGGGCGTACACTCAATTTTAAACTGGAAAACTATGAAATCTTCCAGTCTTGAGCATTTTTGTAATCATTCACTCACTTGTTTCGTTCTGATTTCACGATGAACGAGTGAGAATATCCCTGCAGCACTTACCATAAATATAGATCAGACAAACCAGGACAACATGTCACGTTTAAACAGTTGCAATGTATACAGTATGCATGGTGATGATGATGATGATGATGGCGAGACATGAGAAAGACGAAGATGAAATTGATGTTGGTCTCTTTTCCGAGTCCAAAATGTAACCATAACAAACTACCTCTCTGGGGAACAGAAACATTTGATTTGTATTTTTTTATGATTCATGTTTGTATTTATTGCTGTGCAGTGGCTCACATGGACAACCCAGTACCTCATGTATGAATATCACTTAACAAGAAAGACGCCTTAACAGCTGTTATATCAGATTTTTTTAGAATGATATTATTTGTGTGTACAGTATTTGTATCCTTAGTTTTCGTCAACATGTTGAAACATTTACATACACGGACAGACAGACAGACAGACAAACAACCTTCACAAGAAAGCTGAGAGCTGTTAAGGCGTGGTCACTTCCATGATTGACAGTGTTCAGTTGCTGCTGGGATTGGTTGGCCATCCTCAGGCCCCTCCCCTTCTTTATTCTTACTGCTCAGTTGGATTTTGCTGCTCCGCAAAAATAATTACACAAAACCTGTCAGCATGGCCTTCTCTCTTTTTCTCTTTTTAAATGGTGATGTGTCAGGCGGACATAATCTACTCTGCAAATCACACTTGCTCAAACTTTACCTCGTACAAAAACTCATATACACTCTACAGTCAATACCTCATGCCAGGTCAATCCTAAAATGGAGTAGATGATGCTTTCCAATTGATGATAGAGTCATCCGTGACAAAGAAAAAATTAAGAGAGACATGCTCTTTACCTCTCTTCTTCTGTCTGGTCACCATTGGACAGGAGATCAATAGAACGTTTGTGGCACTAAATGGCTCATAAGTGCAGAAGCACTTCTGTCTCTGAGTGAATGGGTACCATAAGGAAAACCGTAATACAAATGCTAGCTGTTTACTGAGGCTAAAAGTAGAATGCCCGCTCACCAGGACAAAATCAGTTGAATATGACCATTCATGAAACGGTTAAAATTGCCTGTTTTGTTTTCTTTCCTTTTTTTTTCCTTTTACACCATAAAATATTGTAAATTCATGTTCCTGATTTCATGTAATATTGGTCAAATGTTTTCCAAATCAATAAAAGAATATAATAATAAAAACTGGTTACTTTGATTTTCTGTCATATAGGGGAGAGTGGGGTAGGCTGCCCGCCTATTAATCTAGAAAAATGAAATATTTTTGTCAATATGTTAATAAAGGGCCCATCAGATATAGCTGCATGTGCTTGATAAAAATAAGCATATTTTATGCTCAAACCATTTTTCTTATAAAAAATACATTTCTGTATGGCAGATATAATAAACTTTGTCAAGGTATTTTATATATATATATATATTTCTGTGATGTGGTTTTCCATTTAAAATGTATATTATGCATTTCTCCAAGTGTATAATACCTACAGTGGGTATAGAAAAGAATCACCCCCTTTAAAATAATAACATTTTCAGAATCAGAATGAGCTTTATTGCCAGGTATGTTTACACATACGAGGAATTTGTTTTCATGACAGAAGCTTCCACAGTGTAACAGAATAACAGTGACAGGACAAAAACACAGATAATAAGAGGGGGGGGGACAAGTTTACTTTAATTAGAACAAGTAAATAGGGAACTACAATATACAAATTGACAATTGTATGTACAGGTATATTACAATAGACAGTTTTGTATGTACAGGTATATTATGTGCAAGTTCAAAATGTAAACTAAGTATGTGTGTTAGATAAATAAGTGTATAAATAGTGTTGTGTGTGCCACAATTATTGTCAAGTGTTCATAAGATGGATTGTCTGAGGGAAGAAACTGTTCCAGTGTCTGGCCGTTCTGGTGCGCAGTGCTCTGTTGAGTGTCCCACTTCAGGTCCTGAGAGATAGTGGTGCCCAGGAATCTGAATGACTCCACTGTTGTTAGGGTGCTGTCCATGACGGTGAGTGGAGGGAGTCTGTAAGCAGACTCGTCACCGTCCTGAATGAGGCCGATAAGTGTGGTGTCATCTGCAGACTTTAGGAGCTTGACAGAGGGGTTCTTTGAAGGGCAGTCGTGGGTGTAGAGGGAGAAGAGCAGTGGAGAGAGAACACAACCCTGAGGAGCTCCAGTGCTGATTATACGGGTGCTGGATGTGAATTTTCCCAGCCTCACTAGCTGCTGCCTGTCTGTCAGGAAGCTGGTCTGTCACTGACAGATGGAGGTGGGCACGGAGAGCTGAGTTAATTTGGGCAGAAGGAGTGTTGAAAGCCGAGCTGAAGTCCACAAACAGGATCCTCACATAAGTCCCTGGTCTGTCTAGATGTTGCAGAACATAATGCAGTCCCATATGGACTGCATCATCCACAGACCTGTTTGCTCTGTAGGCAAACTGAAGAGGATCCAGCAAGGGTCCAGTAATGTCCTTCAGGTGGGCCAGCACTAGTTTTTCAAATGACCTCATGACCACAGACGTTAGAGCCACAGGCCTGTAGTCATTAAGTCCTGTAATTTGGGGTTTCTTTGGGATGGAGATGATGGTGGAGTGTTTGAAGCATGAAGGGACTTCGCACAGCTCCAGTGATCTGTTGAAGATCTGTGTGAAGATGGGGGCCAGCTGGACAGCACAGGATTTAAGACATTTTAAGACATTTTGTTGCTTTGCCACAGTTTTTGTTTTATCCAGCTGTTTATTCAGTGCACCTTATCACATCCTAGTGAAAGACAAGTCAGAAAAAAAACAGAATTGTGATTATTTTAAAGAGGGGTGATTCTTTTCTATACCCACTGTATCCATATGATAACTTTATTGGTAATTACAGGACACATTAAGAAAAAAATTGCAATTGCTTACCCCACTCTGCCCGTACTCTATATTGTTGAGTGTTAG